TGGTGGAATTTGCCACGAGCGACTGAGTAGTTCCTGATTGTTAAAGTTATCCACCTGGGGTATTTCTGTTTTGTGTAGCACCAAGTAATTTTCTGGGAAGTTCCCTCTCTCTCAGCTGTATAGAATTCTGATGTTGGGATTGGTAGTTTGGTCACTCTGTCAGGCTCCAAAGGAGCCCTCCTAGAGGCAGAAGGAGTCTCTATGACTGCTGGCTGAGAAAGATATGCTGTTGAGAGAAACATGCTCCTGAGAGACATGAGGGACACACACTACTGAGAGAGAGACATGAGGGACATGCACTGGTGAAAGAGAGATATGAGAGACACACACTACTGAGAGAGTCATGTGCTATTGAGACTTCCAGATACTGAGTGAGACAGCCGGCTGCAAGAGACTGAGTGCATTTCTGATCATTTCTGGTGCTTTGCTAATAAACCTCATAATCTGTGAGTTCTCTGTGGCCACTGCAGTGAATTATTAAATCCACCAGAGAGGTGGTGGGTGCTGTGGGAGGAATGGTTGGTGTCAGGGTTGGTGAAAGGGCTGGGGGGAGGCAACATATCTGGCCTTGCAGGAATAGGCCTTAGACTACTGATGGTGATTCTGTCTGCCTCTTGTGAGGTTAGAGGAGGTCAGAAGATGTGTCCTTTCTGCCCCTTTGGCAGATACTTTGATATACAAGTCATCAATCACACAGAGTTCAGAGACACAGAGGAACCAGGAGTGGTGCCTATGCTTAATGCATTGTCTTAGTGAAACAGAAAATATTCTAGAGAACAGGGAAGTGAATGACACAGACCCCAGGGAAGCATGTCAGGAAAAACTGGCATTTTAGCACAGATTGTAAGGTAAGATTTATGTAGAAGAGTGAGGGGATAATCTTTGCAGGAGGAGAGACCATCACATGCAAAGTTATAGCTGGGAGAGCTCTGTGTGAACACAGTATGTACATGAAGCGATGAGGAAGAAAGGTGCCTACTGGTAATGAAGTTGGACACAACAGTGGAGTGCTTTGGAGGGCAGACTAAAGAGTCATTATTCTTGAGTTAACAAGGAGGTATTCAACTCCAGGGCTCATAAGTCTACCTATGTGGTTGGCCCAGCTTGCCCTAGCTGTCTCTCTGTGTTACACTCCTGGAAACTTGCTTCTATTCTGTTCTGCTGCCACCTAAGAACTAAGGAGATAATTGAAATAAGCTTTCTTTCTTAGATGAGAGAGTCAGAGATAGGTAGCTTCTGTTTTCACCTCCTTCCATGAACACACAATTTTTTTTTTTTTTAATTGTGATTTGGGTGAAGATTTACAGAGCAAATTCATTTTCCATACAGCAGTTCACATATACTTTGTCTCATGACATTGACCACAGTTTACC